GAAGAGAGGTAATCGCTGCGGAATTGTTTCTTTTGATTGGTAGATTTGAGTATCGTCTGCATAGAAATGAAAAGAGACACCATGGTTCCTTAGAATAGAGCCCAGATAGCATGTAGAGAGAAAATAGAGAAGGCGCTAATATAGAGCCTTGCGGTACGCCACAGGTCAGGGGTGCATTGGAAGAGGTAAAATTACCCAGCTTCACTAAAAACTTTCTGTCAGACAGGTATGACTGAAACCAATTAAGAACGGTAGCTTTTAGACCCACCCAGGACTCTAGTCTGGATAAGAGTGTGGAGTGGTCAACTGTATCAAAAGCGACCGATACATCTAAAAGAATAAGAACCACAGAGTCTCCAGAATCAGTGGAGAGAAAAACACTCTCAAGAGGGCAGACTCAGTACCGTGAGCAGACTTAAAACCAGATTGAAAAACCTCATAAATACAATTACTTGTCAAAAAATGTTGAAGTTGATCCAGCACAATTTTCTCCACTACCTTAGAAATGAAAGGTAAGACAGAAATTGGCCTACATTTTTTTAGAACAGAAGAGTCAAGAACACTAATTATTTCCTACTTTGATAAACGCATGTTAAACTTGTAAATCATATGTTTAGTTTTTTTTATGCATTTTTGGAGATGGTCCGAAACGAAAGCGAAGGCGAGATATTGAAACTTTTCCTTCATTTGTTGTCGTGACATCCAGTGAGCGTATGACGTTTGACATAATCGGACGACATTTCACCGCTAATATGAGTACTTTTTATTTATTTATTTTTATCACTTAGATTATGGACATTTGACTTATAGCTGTGTCCAGTGTTTCCCAAACATTGAGTTATTTGTGGCGGCCCGTCACCTCCACAAATAGATTTTCCAAAAGGATTCTACTTCGTTGAATAAACTGAGCACTGCACATTTCAAAATTAAAATGCGGCGCGGGTGTTTTTATATGAATGTATAATTGAAAAGAACCGACCGTCTTCAGAAAAGCTTTGATGTTATTTTCATTTCGTCTTTCCTAGGGTTTTGTATTAGATTACAGCCGTTACCGGGGAAACCGCTATATATCTTCTGCTCTAACAGCACCTCCTGCTGGCTGAAAATGAATTTGCATTTGCAAGTCTGTGAGAAACACTGGTGTCTGTCAGCAAACATAAACTAAAAGCATGCTTCAGAACTGTTTTGAGAAGGTGCTTTGAGCACCATGTATTATTACTATGAATTAGGCTACTACTACTATTACTATCTTGTGCCCTGCAATAATGTATAATTGAAAAGAACCGACCGTCTTCAGAAAAGCTTTGATGTTATTTTCATTTCGTCTTTCCTAGGGTTTTGTATTAGATTACAGCCGTTACCGGGGAAACCGCTATATATCTTCTGCTCTAACAGCACCTCCTGCTGGCTGAAAATGAATTTGCATGTGCAAGTCTGTGAGAAACACTGGTGTCTGTCAGCAAACATAAACTAAAAGCATGCTTCAGAACTGTTTTGAGAAGGTGCTTTGAGCACCATGTATTATTACTATGAATTAGGCTACTACTACTATTACTATCTTGTGCCCTGCAATAACCATTTACTCAAACTCGCTTTTATCAGATAAAGGGAAAACAAATTGGCTAAACATATCGGCCAAAAAAATCAGCATCATATATCGGCCATCGGCTGCCCTGATTTCTAAATATCGGCACCGGCCTTATCGGTCGACCTCTATTGCTGACACTTTTGCACTTGATTTTAATGTTTATTTGTTTTGCATGTTATGTATGTTTATTAAAAACAAATTTTGTAATAACCAATTATTCTGGTCCGGACCTTTGACACTGATGAAAATTCAGATTTGGACCTTTGAATGTAGACTTTGAGAACCCCTGGATTAGGGATTACGGACAAGCTCTTCCGAATGGAACGCAGGGATTGTCACCGAACCAGCAGCTCGTCACGTGACGAGTGAATGCAGAAGAACCGGTTCAGATGAAATAAAACAGGCTCATCTCTGATCGCCTGTCGTTACTCTGCTGATTACCGGAGTGCAGATTCACTATCTCTGTCTGTGACTCGCTGGGGTCTCGCTGATCTGGTTTAGAGTCACTCATCATCTCCTCAGGGAATCTGACTAAGTAACACCGGGACAGACTTTACAGGACGCTTCTCTCACGGTAAAGAAACACTGCTGGTTTTACTGATTAATGACTCTGAGCTGTATGCACTTGCATGCATGTTTACTCTCAAATGAAGTATTGTGTAACCAGACAGGGATGGGCGGATCCTCCTCCAGGACTCTGTTTGGAGCCAGTGACGTGAGATCCATCGCGTCCTGGACAGGACTCAAGAAGGCGATCTCCCCGCAGAAGAAGAGGAAGAAGAAGAAGAAGAAGAGATCCTTGCTGACGCTGTTGCTCGGCGACAGCAGAAGAGCATCCCCGTCTCCAAAGAGACTGTTGCTAGGCGACAGGAGGAGGCGGGCAGCGCTGCACAAGAGATTCTCCATGAACTGGAAGTAAAGACTCAACCTGAGATGAATGTTTGGCTTTGGACCAATGAGATTCACTGTGGGTGGGGCATCAGTGAAAGGGTTTTTCGTGATATCTTGGATGTGGGTGTGATGTTCTGCTGTGAAAAGCGTGGTAAACTTCCAGCGGTGTTGAGTAACTCGTGCTTCACCGCTTTAAATGACTCTATTACAGACACTACATTAATAACTGTGAGCATGTAATCGCTGATAACTTGGGTTTATAGGAGAGTTCAAGTTACATTAGACTCGTTCAGTCTTCATTCACTCAATCCAAAAACTGCCTGACTTCTGTGAAACAAAAACAGTTTCCAGACAAGTACTGTCTGTCAAATTTAGAAAAAGGACACAAAATATTGTAAAAATATGACCAATGCAATAAGTCAGTCATATGATGCTTTGAATAAGTCTGTTTACACCACATAAGCAAAAAAAAAACATCACATGGTAAATCATAATTATGACATAAAATGATAAAGTTATGAGACACTAAGTTATAGCCTAATTACACTATTAAAAAGTCATTGACAAAGTTGAAAATGGGATACTAATTCATAATTATGAAATAAAAAGTCAAAATTAAAAGATAACCAGTCATAGTTGACTAAACAGTTATATAATTTTAATTGACATAACTCATAATTATGACCTTCAAGCTCATATTCAGAATTTATCATAATGACTGTCATAATTATGTTTGTCTATTTCAACTTTCGTCAATAATGACTGTTTCTCTCATAATTTCTACTTTTTATGTCATAATTATAATCTACCAAAGCTTTTATTTTTATTCCCCCCAAAGTGGCATTCATCTGCTTTTGAGTTTCACAGAAGAAAGACACAGGTTTGAACGACACGAGGGTGTGTGTGTGTGTGTATGTGTGTGTGAGTGAGTGTGAGTGTGTGTGAGTGATAGTGTGTGAATGAGTGTGTGTGTGTGTGTGTGTATGTGTGAGTGAGAGAGTGTGAGTGTGTATGTGTGTGAGTGATAGTGTGTGAATGAGTGTGTGTGTGTGTATATGTGTGAGTGAGAGTGTGTGAGAGAGTGTGTGTGTGTGTGTGTGAGTGATAGTGTGTGAATGAGCGTGTGTGAG